GTGGGAATGAGGGCTTGTTCACACTGGGTCTGGAAATGAAAGTGGAGCTTGTTCACACTGAGTCTGGAGGTGGGAATGAGGGCTTGTTCACACTGAGTCTAGAGGTGGGAATGAGCGCTCATTCACACTGGGTCTGGAGGTAGGAATGAGGGCTTGTTCACACTGGTCTGGAGGTGGAGGTTTGGGCTTGTTCACACTGGGTCTGAAAGTGAAAGTGGAGCTTGTTCACACTGAGTCTGGAGGTGGAGGTGAGGAGTTGTTCACACTGGGAATGGAAGTTGAAGTGAGAAATTGTTCCTGTTGAGAACGGAGGTTCAGGCTTGCTCACACTGCTCTAGATTTGGAAGTGGGGGCCTGTTCATGTGGGGTCTAGAGGTGGATATTTTGTCCTCTGTGGGCCTATGGGGCTGATTGCTCTCCTGTGCTAACATTCTGTCCACTGAGGACAGGTCCTGAGCCTCTCAGCCTCCTTTGACATCCTCAGACTTCTCTGTGCTCTCTTGTCCCCACACTACACTACTGGCCCTGCATATCCCCTCATGGATGTCTGCCCGGCAGGTGCTGGAGCCCTGCCAGCTCCCAGGCATTTCCTGACTACTCCCCAGAGGCCACTAGAAGGCTGGGGGTGCCGAGGCATCAGAACTCTGCGCCTCGGCTGGTCACCAGGCCTGGTGCTCCCGAGGCCAGCCAAGCCAGCCGGCTGTGGTAACCTCTGCACAGGAGCGTGAATGGCATTCCAGCCTAAGGCTGGCAGGCATGCAGTGGGGCCGGTCTGACCACTGCCCGCTGTCCCCGGCAGCCTGGCATTGGGTGGAACCACTGATCAAACAGTCCCTGTCTCCTTTGTGCCCAGCCTGGCACCCACGGAGCCTGGCCCGGCCCCATGCCCCAGAGCAGGCCCACCAGGTGGCTTTTCGGAGGATGTGCCCCCTCGGAAAGAGAGGGCAGGAGAGGGGAGAGCACTGGTGTCTGGGCCTTGGCCCCTCCTGCCCAGGTGGCCTGCGGTCACTACTTTCCCAGATGAGCCTCAGTTTCCCATCTGGAGCCCAGAAGTGGGCAGTTTGGCCGGAGGCCTTAGTTCCCCTTGAAACAATAAGGAAACCCATGCTGGCTGCAGCTGAACGCTGGGGTCCGGCTACTCCCACTGGAGGAGGAATGAGGAAGCAGAGCAAGCCGGCCGTGGCCCCGGTGCCCAGACTGTTCTTGGGTCTTGGCTGCAGTTCAAGCCTGCCAGCCAGCCTAGACCCAGCCTCCAAGGGGCCCCCACCTTCTCGGGGCTTGGAGCCCACACTGCCCCCTGGACTCAGGTGCTCCCCGGCCCAGAGTCGGCCTCTGGCAGTGTTTCAGAGACAACCAATTGTGAGGAGCTGGTCCTTCCCCTCCTCCCCCCAGAGGTGCTTCTGCACACAGAACACACAGAAGCTGCCACC